ATCTATCTATCTATCTATCTATCTATCTATCTATCTATCTATCTATCCACACACACACACACACATCATTAAAAAAGTAGGTAATTGGTTATTCAAGAAACCTTCTTCTTTACCACATAAATATTTGCAAAAGATGAGAAATTTGCTGGAAAAGAGACCCTTTTTTTTTGATAATAGGAGCACTTCTCAGTAATAAGTATGATAATAAATGATATGCACCATGAGTGTTTTTATGAGGTTTTACATGAAGTTGCTGGAAAGCCAGAAGTAACTGATCAAAGAGGGGTAGAGTTTCCAGCAGTTTGTGGCATTCTGAATTTTAAACTTTCCAGAGACTCCCATGCATAAAACATAAATGATACCGAGTTCTCACAGCCTCACTGAGAAAGTAGTTTTGCAGATTTTATAATATCTATGTTCACCAGAGGTGAAATAAATACAGAGAATATTCAGCAACGGTGGGCAGGCTACAGAACTGAGTGACAAAGTAGATGTTTGCGAAGAGAAAATATCTCTTAGAGTTGTGCAAGAAAAACCAAAACACTTTTTCAGTGAAAGAGAATTTGCTATTATTATTTTCTTTTTTCAGAGAGAAGAATTTCAAAGAAAAGCACATGAGAGGATTCTGACATTTAACTAGTGGCTGAGATGAATGTATGACTATCCTTTCTTTTACTATAGAAAAACCTCTTCTGGTGAACTCTATCCTAACTGACTGCACTTAAATCACAAAAAAAGATTCGATAAGGAAACTATTTATCTTTCCTTCCTGTGATTGAGAAGTGCAGATAGGTGGCAGATTTACCATATTAGTGTCTTCAATTCCAAGATCGCACAACTGGATTCATGCCAAGATGATTCTGGAATTCACTGTCTGCCAGTTTCTAGTCGGGTGCTTTAATCTCCACACCATACCTATAACATACACATATTAGAAAACCATGACCAGTTGGATCATTGTTTCCTCATTCTGTGGCTTTCATTGTCATTCTTCATCTTGTTTGCTATTTGTTCTTTTTCTGCAACCCCAGAGATATGCATTTATCTGCTCCTTTGTCTCTTTTTCTCTTCTCCTTCTGTGTCTCTGTCTTCTCTTCTCTCTGTCCATCCCTCCTATTATTTGTTCTGATTATTTGATCCTGGAATTGTACAATCCTGTCCTAATCTGATTATTGTTCTCTCCTCCTCCTTGCCATTTTCCAAATGTTTCCTGAAAATGTTTGGACCTATTTATTTATTTAGTTGTCAAATATGTACAAGATAACAAGTATAATTATGAACATAAACAAGAACAAGAGAGTAAATACAGATAAATGGGGACAGTAGGCACGCTGCTGCGCTTATGCATCCTCCCCTTTAAGGACCTCTTAGGAATGGGGTGAGGTCCATGGTAGACAATTTGAGGTTATGGTTATGGTTAGGGTTGTAACAACGGAATCTGGTAGGACGTTCCAGGCATTGACCACTCTGTTGCAGAAGTCATATTTTCTGCAATTGAGTTTGTATCAGTTTACCTTGAGTTTGTATCAATTGTTTGCCCATGTATTATTGTAATTGAGGCTGAAGAAGTTGTTGACAGGCAAGACATTATAGCAGACAATTTTGTGAACTATGCTTAGATCGGACCGCTGGTGGCGCAGTTCCAGATTGTCCAGGCCCAAAATTTCAAGCCTAGCGGCATAAGGAATTCTATTGTGAGTGGAGGAGTGGGGTACTTTTCTTGAGAAATACCTCTGAACCTGCTCAATTGTGTTAATGTCCAATATACAATGTCGGTTCCAGGTGGATGAGCTGTATTCAAGAATTGGTCTGGCAAAGTTTATACCCCAAATAATAATAATAATAAAAGATTGTTATGTGGCCATTTCTGAAAGAAAATATCAAACTGATATGGAAACAGCTGTGATGAGACTGTTTTCCTCCAGAGACAATGACTAATAGTGGATTTCTACTTAACGTATCTCCCCCTTTATGCTAGATGCAGTTCCTCGGATAGCTGGAGATCTTTGCGGATTTGAAATGTTGTTACAAGATCCGTTTTAGGCAGTTCTTTTGGGTTAGTAATGCAACATTGTCAATTCTCTTCACCATGGTAAAATCTTACTTGTTTTTCTGGGCAAACAAACATTAAAGGGTCCATGTTTTAGTTAGTGCTCATTAACTAAAGTAAGATGAATCAATATTTAAAAGAAAAGAAATCTTTTTTAAAAAATACCTGTTTGTCTGCTTGGACAAAGAGTTAAGATTTCACCAGCAGTTACTTTTGGTCAGGAGGGCAAGATTAAGTCTATTCCTCAAGG